TCCCGGGTTCAAGCGATTCTCCTGCCTCAGCCTCCCGAGTAGCTGGGACTACAGGCGCCCGCCACCACGCCCGGCTAATTTTTTTGTACTTTTGATAGAGATGGGTTTTCACGGCTTTAGCCAGGATGGTCTCGATTTCCTGACCTCATGATCCACCCACCTTGACCTCCCAAAGTGCTGGGATTACAGGCGTGAACCGCTGCACCCGGCCGACGGGGGGAATTTTCATCTGAATATTGGGCAGCTATGTTTGGGGCGGTGGTGAAGACAAATGCACACCAACAAATGGCTCTTTCCAAAACGCATCTTAAAAGTGCTTTAAGGGTGCATCCTGATAGGTAGCATAGGGAGCATGGGTTTTGGTGCCAGAGATTTGGCAGTAAGTCCTGGTGCTCCGTGTCCCGACTCCAAGCACCCCTCCCAGACCCACGCGTGCTCATCCCTAGTGAAAGATTATGGCAGGTAACACACACAAATCACTGAGTGTGGCTATCGGGGCGTTGCACGGCACATGGGAGTTATTCTTATTGTCCTCATATATTTAAGGATGAATATACACAAGAACACACTCACACATACACACTCACATACACACAGACTCACACTCACAAAGACACTCATACATACACACTCACATACACACACTCACATACTCAGACTCACATGCTCACATACACACTCTCACACTCAAACACACACTTCTCTCTCACATTCTCTCACACACTCACACATTCTAACACACTCTAACATACACACTTACTATCACACACATTCTCACACACACTCACACTCTAACACTCACACACTCTCACATGCACTCACTCGTACACATACACTCTTACACTCTCCCACATATGCATACACAGGCACACACACGCACACACACGCACACACACACAGCCTCGGGGGACAGAAGCCTAGACTTGCTCTACGGGAAGGTATGGTGTGGGAGCCTGGCTTCAGGGGCCAGTTCCTGTGACTGGGGCAGGCAGGGAGCACTTTCTCTCCTGGAGCAGCTGGGTACCCTGAGCGCTTCCAGCTGTGCTGTGAACCCTCCTTTGTCCTCCAGTCCTGTCTTCTGGGTATCAGGGCAGGAAAGGAGCTTCAGGAAGTTACCAGTTCAATTTCATTTTGCTTCTGAAACAGAGCCAGGAAGCCACTTGCCCTGGCTCAAGCGCCCATCCTGTCTTTTCTATGTGCTTAGGGAGAAAAAGCCATCTCCCTTCACTGTCCCTGCCCCACCACCCCTCAGCCCCATCTTCCCACTGTGTTTCTAGCAGATGAAAATCCTCTAAAATACATCTCAATCCATCACCCTGGCAAGCTCTTGCTCCATCTTCCCAGCCACCTGTCCAGGTCTTGTGATTTATATTTGCTCAACATTAATCTTTTAAAAGCAAAGAAGCCATAAACACATACATAACTCTGCCCCCTGTCAGAAGAAATCCCATGACACAAATCAACCGCCATCTAAATTAGATGTTTCTTTCATAGAAAGTGATAAACGTGCTGGAGACTAATCAAAGAAAAGTCAACTAACTTAGACTTTGTTTCACTTCAGGGTTTTGTAGGTGATGTGGTTGAAGTTGGACAATCAGTTCATGACTAATGACCAACAGGAATGCGTGAATTGGCCCAGTTCTGCTGTTTGATGCTTCCAATGTAAACAGGAGGCTTTGTGCATCATTTCTCATCAGGGTTCTTAGCACTTCAAAAGCAAGTTTGAAAGCTAACACTTAATCTTAGGAGAAGAAGGGTGAGTGCAAACGCAA